GGGGGGGGGGGGGGGGATAATTGCCCCAGTCTATTCGTGGGGAGCAGCACGTGCTGGGAACCGGGCCCAGCGGCCCATTATCGCTCCACTAACTCTACGAGGAATCTGCTTGAGAAATTACTATGTAAAGGGCCTCACTGCACTACTCACCAAATAACATAGTATTCATGAAAACCTAACAAAACCAGAAAACCTAACATTTTTTATAGAATGAAAAAGTTAAAGTCAAACTTTTATTTTTGACACATAAAAGAGAGCGTTTGTAACTGTTTCCCGGGAAAGGAGGCAAAAAAACTGGCAGAAAGTCCAGCGGTTCTAAAAATGTGCAAGAAACGTTTTTCCAGCAAAGAGCATGTTATCGGACTATAAGTCGTTCTTAGGGGCTCGTTCGACACTCCTCGGGGCATCCTCGGGCCCCGAGGACGATTCCTTGGAGTCGCCGGAGGAAAATCCCGCCTTCGTTCCACTCATCCTCGGAAATGTTCCTCGAGGACGATTCCTCGGGGCGTCCCGCGGCCAGTTTCATATATCGACGAGTGGACGCGGGGGGTGGTCGGCGTTTGGTCCATCCTGCATGTCCGTGTGGGTGTGGGTGGTCCAGTGCTGGCGGCGTGCATGACCGGGCTCTGCGGCGGGAAAAAAAAAATGGCACGGAAAAGGCGCGGTGTCCTAGTTCGAAATTTGAATTCGAATTTTTGAGATCAAGCGTGCACAAGCGTGGGCGTCCCTTGCGGGTGACGGCAGCGACGTTGTTCGGCGGTGGGCGTTTCGGATCTCGGCGGCGGCGCGCTTCTGACGACACGCGGAACGTACATGTACGCGTTGGAAGCAGTGGAGACGGCGTGTGACGATCACGTTCGTCCTCCCGCTTTCGGGAACTCGGATTTCCATCGCCAGTTGCGGTGAGCACTGTCGTTCTGCACTTTCGGGAACGTGTGACAATCGCGGTTGGACATGCGGATCCCCTCGCTGTTGATTCGTGGTCTGCGGTCTTCTGCACTTCGCGACGGGCGGATCCTCGGTACCGTTTACGGCGATGGCGTCGGAGGGGATGGACATGCGTCATGCGCGATCGAAGGCGGAGAGGACTGCGGTGGCAGCGGCCGTGAGCGCCGTCCTCTTCCGGTGCCAGTTGGAGAGGGGCGAGGGAAGGATGAGAGCGGCCATTCGCGCGCGGCGGAAACAGACACTGCAGTCGCCGTTTCTGGGGGGCGACGACAGCGCTGCTATGTGCGACGTCGTGCTGCAGGTGTGCTACGCCATGGGGTGTGGAGCGTTCCCCAGAGCGACGCCCAGATGGTGGATAAAGCGACGTACAGGCGGCACTTGGGAGGATCTCCGGCTATGCGACGACGCGACGGCGGACTACTTCAGGGAGAAGCTACGAATGTCGCCACGTGTATTCCGAGAGATAACGGAAGCTCTGTCTCCCTTCCTTGAGCGACATGTCACTTTCTACACGGAGCCCCTCCAGCCAGACCAGATTGTCGCCTACGCTTTGTACAGGTGGGCGTCGGGGGAGACATACGAGAGCGGGACATGCAGCTTTGGCATTGGCAGATCTTCCGGGTTGGTGGCGGTGCGGGATGTGACTGCGGCGTTGCTCAGTGCGTTCCCTGACAAGATCTCGTGGCCGACGGGTCTGCAGAAGGCGGTCGTCTTGCGCGCTTTCGCTTACAAGGGTTTCCCCAACTGCCATGGGTGCATCAACTGCACCCACATCTTCATCGACAAGCCTGCGAATTGCCCCGGTGAGGACTACTACGATAGGAAACGACGTTTCTCCGTGCAGGCACAGGTCGTCGTGGATTTGAACTTGCGCGTGCTGGATGTGTTCGTCGGTTACCCGGGAAGCTGCCACGACGCCAGGATCGTCCATCTGTCCAGTTTATGGGCACGAGCGGAGGCGGGATAGCTTTTCACCGGCCCACCTGTCATGCTGCCTTTCGGTGTGCGTACGGACGGATATCTGCTGGGGGACAACGGATACCCGCCCTCCGAATGGGTTGTCGTCCCTTATGGCGGTGTATCCCAAATCCCTGTGGAGATGCGCTTCGATAACAAGCAGAAGACGACGAGGGGTGCAGTGGAGAGGGCTTTTGGCAGACTGAAGGGGATGTGGAGGTTGTTCCTTCGATCCCACAAGACGAACATGGAGACGTTGCCGCAGCAGTTCGTCGCCGTCTGCATTCTCAACAACATCCTCATCGACGCGGGCATCCTGTTCGACGATAATCTGCTCTGGGAGGTCGGGCCGGATGGTGTTCGTCGCAGGGTGGATCTTGGGATGGATCGTCCCGTGAGGCAGATGTGCATGGAGTCCTCCACAGGGGATGCCCTCATTCTACGTGACGCACTGGCTGAGCGAATGGCGGCACAGTGAAGACGCCGAGGCGAGCGGAGGGATCGGCCTTGATGGCGTGGCTGACGCGATTAAACGCGGCCGTGTGCCGCGGGGTGGAAGGTCGAAATCGTGGCGAGAAGACGCGGGGTGCTCCATGTCGTGCAACGAGTTGTCGTCGTTGTGTTTGTCGTCCATCGGTCGGATCTCACGAGTAGTGTGGCAGTGGTGGGCGTCGTACTTTTGTTTTCCGGGCACGCGGCGGCGTGTGTCGGCAGTTTATTTCGTTGTGTTAGGATCCGATCGCGGTCGGGTGTGTGGCTATGCCAGAGGCGGACTGCGTTTGCGCAGTCGAAGACGTAGGCGAGGAGGGGCGATGTGAGAAGCGCCGACGTGCAGACAAGTGGTTGTTGTGTAGTGCGCTGTCGCTACGGCGACGTGTGAGGGTGGCAAGCTTATCGTGTCGATCATTGGTTTTATTGTTGTGTTTTGGTTGATCTTTTCACTGAAATTGATTAATGACCCGTTTCGTTTTCCACGCTCTGTCTCCACGGACGTGTTGTTTTGTTGTTTTGTGTGTGTGTTTTTTTTTTTTTTTTTTTTCCTTCGACGTTCTTCATTCTTCGTTTCTTATTGTCGTCCTCTTTTCGTGTTCTCACGCGCTTGCTGTTGTGACAACGGATATAGAAACGTCCACCCCCAACGACCACCGACGTCGTCCGCACTAGCAGCAAACCCTGGCGCACAGCCTGTTCTAATTGTACACGAAAGTGCACACATGCACCCACCTCATCAAACTTCTCCCTGCGCTCCCAAAGGCATCATGAACCCCCCGCGCTCATATCGTCGTTCACAGCGGCGTCATTGCCGTCTTCCGGTGGCCCTGTGTCCAACCAATCGAGCTTTTGAGCCTCCATTGGGGAAGACAAAGTGGCGTCGTGCGAGAATTTCACGCCGATTGACGCCCAGTCCGGGATGTACAGTGGAGGGGCCAGCAAGGTGATCGGGGGTTTCACCAGCTTGTCCGTGATGGCAGTTGCGGCCTGCACCATGTGGCGACGTGCGTCGAACGAGCGATGCATGGATGCGATTACAGCAGCGTCCCGATCCCCGACAGACTCCGGATCACCAGAATTCACCGACGGCAGACGCACACCCCCCGGAGCACCAGTGTCTGCGACGTTCTTGGGGTTAATGGTGTGGCTCTTGGCAGTCGACCCCAGGATCTCGTCGTAAACCGCACGATCCATGTTGAAACTGAAGCCCTTCGACAACCGCTCCTTCCCTGTGAACTGGAAGAAGTCCTGTTTCCCTGAAACTGGTGCACCTTCTTGAACTGCTGCATCAAATTGTCCCACTTCTCCCCGCACCGTTCTGCCTCCCTCTCCACGCCCACCTTCTTCAGCCTTTGCTTCACATCCAACCACTTCCATTCTCGCGACTTCATACGAGCGTACGCGGTGCCCATTCCCTGCAGATGCGCGTCCTGGTCACGTTTAGCCCGTATCAGGGCCACCATGTCGTCGACGGACCAAAAATGACGACCGCCTTCTGCATCGCCGCCAGCTTTGACACCGCTCCCCTTCCCCATCGCCTTCTTCCCCCGCCGACCGTTGCAAACAGACACCTTCGCCCTCCTGCCCTTCCCCCCCATGGTGCTTTGCTTGGATGGCAACACTTGACCTGCGTCGTCCTCCCCAACCCCGCAGTCGTCGTCGTTCAAGTCCTGGTCGTTGCCGCCGACATCAGGTGTGTCGCCGTCGTTTTCGTCGTCCACCACTCGTAGTCGCTGCACGCCCCGTGTTATGGATTCTTGCCGTCGCGGATGGAGCATCCGTCGCTGTTCTTCCCACACCTCCCTCCCGTCGCGTCCGTCACCTCTTTCCTCGATCCCGCAATCATGCTCCCCGCATTCCCCCCGATTGCGAGCCGCACTCGAATTGTCGGACAGGGGAGACGGGGACAACATCCACGACGGGCGAGCTGAGGCACCCCTTGAAGCAGACGGCGCCCTGTATTGCTGCGTACGAGGATCCCTGTTGTTCCCCGATGCCACGCAGACCGACGACGCTGGAGACTTCGACGGTCGTGCAACAACCGTCACCTGGCCGCCATCGTCATCGGGACGGTTGTCGACTTGCACTGTCCGCGTCGAAGACGACGACCTCCCACTGCACAGACCGAACATCAGATTCACACCTCCATTTCCTTCGTCGCGGCTCAGGCCCTGCTGGAGGAGCTGGGTGTACGACTGCCCGTAACTGGGCTCGCGGCTTCCACAAAGCTCTGTGGCCTTCCACTCCTGCGTAGACCCGCTTCCCAGCGGCACGGCACGTGAACGTCTGTCGTCCTCCTCCTCATCCGATGTGTCCGGCAAAGGCTGCAAGTGCGGTGGCAGGTGCGCGTACTCCGACCGCTCCACCGCCCTTGAACCTCTAGACGGGCTCTGCCCGGCCCGTTGGCCACCACCCTCACCCCCTACAGACCTGCAAACCGCCTGCCGCCCATCCATATTGACGTCCTTCTTTGCACACCGTCGCCTGCGCCCACGTCGCGGAACGATGCCAACGACACAGACGTGGAAGAGCACTACGAGGACAAGCAGGAGGACGACCAGCACCAGCAGTGGCAGCCTCCGAAAGACATCGCCCATGAAACGCACGTGGACGACGCGAGCACCTGCAAGACAACCGTGGACGTACAGGAAACGGTGACGGACACTCTGCCGAAAACGGCCGAACGCAGCTAACGACAAACGGTGGGTAACGTGCTTCGTCGCGGAAGACACAACGCGATCGGAAAAGCGGGGGCGGCCTGAAGTATTCGAATCTGCCGACCGTTGGCCGCTTTCCCACCACGGTCGAAGGGCGGCAACGCAAGGCAGCCCCTTTTCGACGTCGCGAAGGACGGCAGACCGCCGAAGGGACCGTTGGCAGAGTATTCCATGACGCCGACCGTTGCCAATCGAAGATGTCCGTCCACGGGCCGCCAAGAATAGCAATGCACCAGCCGCGTCGAAAATTGTCGTCGAGAGAGCTGCCGTCGACACTCCGATTCTTCCGGACGCTTGACCTCCAAGGGACCTCGGGAGGTCCCTTGGGGAAAACGTCGAAATGGCTGTAGCCCGAGGATTCCCGGAGGAAACCCCGAGGAAATGTTTTCATATTTTTTTTTCGTTTTGTTCCCCGAGGATAAGGTGGAACGATGATTTCCTCGGGGATTTTACGCGCCCGAGGAGTGTCGAACGAGCCCCTTAGTAGATTGAAAAAAAGCATAGCTCAAACAAGACAATCTTAAAGGTCTGCAAGGCGAACTCGAATGATGTTAAAAAAAACAGTTTCAGTGAATACTCATTTATAAAACTATAAGTCGTTTTCTGGAGTTTGGTAAAAACCAGATTCTGGGAAATCGAGTTTATAGAACTATAAATTAATATAACTCCATTTTTAAGTTAACTGTAAAACCCTTGTCAAAAAATATATGCTATGTAAAAGAAGAATTCAAACAGTTTTTGCGTGGGAGACATCTTCAAATTCTTTGCTAACCATAATTTAAAATTAAAAATTAAAAATTATTTAATAAAAATGCTAAAAAATAATATATTTGTCCATGTATGAGAGAACATATCCAAGCAAATGTATTCGTGAACAGGAGAGCATGTGTGCGTGTTGAGGAGACCCCCGAATAGGTTCGTCGTGCTACATACCTTATAGAACTATAAATATGATTTTTTCAGATAAACAAAAAATTGGGATAATTCGGTGCCTGAACAAACGGTGCTTTGCAAGGTAGTGATTTTTTGCAAAAAACCTTGCTTCTCTTCTCATCACTTCCAGTGGTTCTGAAAAAGTACTTTTCTATTCCTTTTTTGCGGTTAATTTACTTCACATAAAATTTTGTTCGTGTAGGAGGCCTGAAAAATGTACTATCAGAATCTTTAAAAATTTTCGTGCAAACCTAACAATTTTTTTTCTTAGGTTTTCACGAATACTATGTTAAATGCATAAAATGAGAGTGAATCTTTAGCTAGAACATGGGTAGATTCAGCGCAATATTTGCGTAAAATGAGAGTGAATCTTTAGCTAGAACATGGGAAGATTCAGCGCAATATTTGCCGTCTTTTGCACATGTGCAGAGTTACTGTTAGAGTAGTGGAACCAGGCTCTATTGCTGTCAGAAAACACCAAGTACTGCCACCCTAATAGAACGCCCGGTCATTACACCTGTATCTGGACTGAAAATTGCACCCGATACGGTAGGAGGAGGCCTCTCGTCCTCTACACTGTTGTAGAGTTCCCAGCCTGCAACCACCTTTTCTTGTAGAGTACTCCCTTCTTTTTTTTTTTTTTTTTTTTTCCTCCTTCGCATGTGAGAAACCTGCTTAACGAGGTGATAAGAGCAGCCCCGGGGCCAAGTCCAAGTCCCACTTGCAGCGTTGAGCTACCTCCACGCCTGAACCTGGACGTGTTTGTGGAGATGTGCAGTTCAGGAAACTCAACACCATTTCTGCACATCTCCCCAAAAGCGTCCACATTCGGGCGTTGAGGTAGCTCAACGCTGCTAGTGGGACTTGTCCCCCGCTAAGTAGGCCCCTGCGTCGAAGGCTCCATCTATTGGTGGCGAGCTGCACCTGCTGGAAATCGGGTTCAGCGTCCCTATACAAAGTTATAATGATGTCTTTCAGCTGAAAGTCGGGTCCTGCTTTTGAAAAAAAAAAAAAAAAAAAAAAAAATTGGGTCCAGCATCCCTGTAAAGTTCTGTAGAGTGCTGTAGAGTACTCCCTACTCCCTCAGGCTGCAGGTTAAACTTTGCAATTGGCCTGGCCACACCACTCCCAAAACCGGCAATTTTGTGGATGGTGCCCCGCCACACCAGCTCCGAAAATCGTTTTGCCAGAGAGATTCCTTTATATATATCGTCACAAACAGAACTGCCCGGTAAACCGTAGGCAGAGAGAGAGAAGAGGACAACAAACGAGGGGCTGTGACAAACTGTTTCGTCGGAGTTTCACCGACTCATCAGGAGGCTGAACCCTCAACAGTCTGCAGAATCCCCTCACTGATTACACTGTAAATGATAATCTACCTTAACCAAAATCAAAGTAGACTATCACTCACCCACACCAGATGGAAAACTCTACAGACTGTCCGTTCACACCCCATCACAAGCCAGCAAAACATCCACGAAACAAAGAAAGGTCTGTCACAGCCAAAAAATACACTCCAGACACGCCGCTGGCATATATATATCTTCTTCTTTTTTTTTTTTTTTTTTTTTTTTTTGGCCAGAGAGATTGCCTTTTGTCAGAGTTGGGTCCTTGAGAGCACTGTCTCTCCCAAAACCGGCCTTCCCCTCCTGCCTGCAAGACTGCTCGAAACAATTGGTCTGGCCACACCACTCCCAAATCCGGGCAATTTGGGGAGTGGTGCGTCACCGCACACCACACCAGCTCCCGAAATTGAACCGGCCTAAGGCCGTCGCCGCACGGGACACGAAACGAAAAACGAAACGAGTGCATCTTCATACACAAAATAGCCAGGTTCATTTGTCTGCTATAAAGAGTAACGAGTGTATTTTGCCACCTTTCGTGGGCAGATGCACTCGTTTCGTTCTCGTTTCGTGTGCCGTGCGGCGAGACACTAAGGCTTCTCCTCCCGCCTGCAAGACTTGAATTTCGAGAGACCTCTCCGAGTCGCAGAGGCCCGAGGGTCTGTTTTGTGCCCAAGAACTCGTGGACCGCTTGTCAGTGAGGTCTGGGCAGTGGGCAGACAACCATCGCCTGCTGAAGCTGCAGCCTTTTTTGTCTTTTGCCCCTCTTTTTCAACCTTTTTGCGCTCTGTCCGGGACCCGTGCTTCTGCCGTTCCAGAGTGCTCAGTTCGAAAATCCATCGTGGTGTAGCGGGGCCATCGAACCCGGTCCGTTTTTCCTGCTCTCGAGGTTCTGAGAGCACTCCCATTTATTTTTTTTTGGGGGCGGGGGAGGGATTTGAGAGTGGTGTGGCGAGGCCCAATGAGCGCCCAAATTTGATTCTTATTTTTATATGTATGTCTTGAAAAAATAGACAAAAAAAAAAAAAAAAAAAAAAAAGTTAATCTTGGAGACGTAAATATGTTACCTTTAGAGTGAACCTGGAGGGAGATCCCACTACCGATGCTGTATGGGGAGTAGTGGAGAGGTTGTGTGACTCAGAAGCACCATGGACCGGGACCATATATGGTGTGTCCTTATTTGTATTAAATTTTACGCGAGGGGACATATGTGTGTTTTTGGTCCCTCCCATTGCAATGGTTGGTATTTCCTTTCTTTTTGAATAGGTGTTCCTCTTTGGGTCCCCTACGTGAGTGAAAATCATCGTTTCTAAAAAAAATGCAACTTAAAAATTAAAAAAAACAAAGAAAAGGAAAGATTATAACCACTAGATGACCCGTCGCGGCTTCGCCGGCAAAACCAGAAAAGACAAAAAAAAAAAAAAAAAAAAAAAAAAAATCATAACGATCTTTTGGGTGATGAATTTCACACAGCACCCACCTAGTACTCAACTTTGGGTCACATGTAAACAAAAAACAAAACAAAACAAAAAAAAAAAAAAGTTTGGGTCATTGCGCATGCTTGGAAGACATGGGGTCTGGTCCCACCTAAGGTTGTTGAGTTTAGAAAACTCAACGGTGTGACGCCATTTCCACATTAATAAATTCGAAACAAGAAATAAAAAAACTGAAAAAAAAGCTAGAAACAGCTTTTCTCTTTATTTTTGATAACGTAAGTCGGAGAAATGAAAAATGTCTGGAACAGTTGGAGTGACCATCTCCGTGAAAAAGGGCTACTCCCCGTGGTGAGGGGACWGGAGGTCACCATTCGTAAAATGGACAGGGACAACGTGGATGGCCAAATGCATTCATTGCCCAAAGAAGGAAACGAGTTTCATGCCAGAAAGCCAAACACAGCTGTCAGAGTTCCTCCGTTTCAGGATGCAATGATGTCTCAAAAACCGAAAAAAGGAAAGGCACGGGCGTTGAGAAATCTACCCTACCCTCGGTAGGGTAGTTTTCTCAACGCACAATGGTTTCCCGCCCAAACCAAAAGGGCCAAAGCATACTACAAAACAGTTTTCACGTCAAATAAAAATTCTACAAAAAGACAAAATCTAATAGGTTATTCTCCTGTATTTCGGCACCATCAGATCGCAACACATCAACGGCAGAGCTCCGTCCCACCATGCCGCACGTGATAGAAAGCTCAGCGTTGAGAAAACTCAACGCTGTAGGTGGGACTAGACCCATGGAGAAGTGATTGTGGTTTGTGAGATGTTACGAAGCTTTTGATGATCTCTCTCTCAAAGCCAAAGCAACCTAATATACTCGGAAAAAAGCAAAGGCCGTAGGCTCGCTAGCTAGAGAAAGATTAATCACTACAATGGTTAATCACTTTTTTGAAGTTGTTTTCTATTTTTTTAAGCATCGCTTTAGTTTCTGGCGTTATGGTTATACGTGCTAGAAACCCGGTTCATTCCGTTTTTTTTTCTCATTTTAGTATTTTGTAGTACTTCAGGTTTACTTGTGTTATTAGGTCTTGATTTTTTTGCTGGAGCGGTTCGATCCCCTCACCTACAGCACATGCTGCATGGAGTTGCTCCTGCCGTCCTTTGCCAAAAGTAATTTTTTTGCTGTCAGAGCGAAGGAGGAGGAGGAGCGTGCACCGAATTTGGTCATTTC